GTGCAGTAGCTAATGCCAAGTTATCCAAATAACTGTAAGATTATCTGGCCTTCATTGACGATCCTGGTGTTCCCTGGTCTATCATGGGCATTGTCTCCTCAATGCATCCTGGGATGAGGGCTTCATCTGCAGCCTGGATAATGCACAGTTAAAAAATGAGATTCAGTACTACTCTGGAAATATCAAACTGAATTTCAATAATTTAGTAACGTCTGTATCCTGAGAAATGTAAACTTGAATATAATAAGAACCAGTCATGGTCAACAAAGACTGATTACAGATAACTGTTAGACCTCAGTTCTAGGATTGCGAATGGTAGGCCAAGAAATCCAATAGTGTCTTCCTACAACAAACTGTCAAATTATATAGCACACTTTGAATACGTACATGGATAATGGCAGAAAGGTCCAAAGTGTGGATGTTTTGGATGTTTCGGTAACTCCAATCTAACTGCAACTGCTACTGTGCACCCTTAATTAGTTTATAGTATCCTTAATACTGTGACGAGTCGGCTGCCGCCCCCTAATTATCATCATCACCCCGTCCCTTAAGCGCCGCCCTTCGCCAGGCTCCCGACGGGAGTGGGTGCGTGAGAGAGGAGGGGCGCTGACCCCTGCACGACCCCCGCAGCACGACGAGGACGCCAGATCCCCTGTTTTATTTTGGACACTAGATTCCCCTTTTCCCTGGACACTTTGTTGTTTATATTATTTTTGTAAATAAAAGCCTCTCTGAGGCCTGACGCCACACCCACTGTGTCTGTCGTGTGCTCCTCCCGTGACAATACACTGACATATTCAATGGACAGGGAGAGAGAAAAATAATAGATTAATATTAACATTTGCAACATCATCAAACAAAGATTTTAAAAGTAGCAAACGTGATTTAAACCATTAATGTAGAGGCTTTGGACTGACAGTGAAGCGGATATCAATAAGTGCACTTGTCTGGTGAAATATCAGATATCTATAATTAAGACTATTCGATTATGCTCATCAAATTATATTAAGACGCATATCATTCAAAGCAGTCATCAGAGATGTACACATGTGAAAAGTTTTTAATAATACTCACCACTACTAAACAGCATTAAAAAAAAAAAAAAACAGTCCAGGAGAATAAGGGTCTTCACAGGACAGGACAAACCAAACATCTAAACAGAACGCATATTAAATGTAAATTTTCTTTTAAACAACATGCATTGTACTGGATTTTTAATAATAAAACTGATTATTGGTTATGATTATTGATTATGCTCATTGGTTTAAGCAATAGTTCTCTTTCAAAATGTTTGATTTTTCAAAAGCCTGATATCATGTTTTTATGTGTATAAATTATGTGTGAATATACACTCTGAATTATGTGATTGTTGTCATATTACTAAAAAGTACATTAAAATACATCTGTAAAAAAAATCTTATTCATTATAAGTTGTCATAAAAAGCAACATAACTTAACATCCAGTTCATTAGGAACACAGCATGAGTGTGAATCACGCAATATCCATCTTTGAACTCGCATGTGTCTGATCCACTTGGAGAATTGGACGTCTCGCTGCACTTTTTTCACTCGTCCCCTGACTGCAGCCGGACTAGTCGACATACAAAGAAAAAGATTACACACATTTCGAACACACAAACTATAATATACATGACATTTTCAGACGCGGCTAAAGCTAGTGTTAACATTAGCTAACTTGAGCATTAGCAGAAACGTAACTTTTAAAACAATGTTGTTTGATATGACAAGTACATAAAACCTGAGTGAAAATGTGCACATTCAAATACTGAATGGCTGCTCTAAACTGAATTTTATTTTCAAGTTTTAATTACCTCAGTGTGGAGCTCAGATCCCATCCACAGCGAGAGACAAAATGGCGATGGGCGCGAATCGGTTTCCTTCGCAAAGGGGCGGGGTTTCTGAAGAAAACATAACTACTTAATTTAGCTTCAACATGATTAATTCTATATGATTGAACATCCTTACAGAATAAATACATGGTACATGATTAAAATATATGTAGATGAGAAGCATAAATTGATCATGTAAGAAATGCGAAATGCATATGTGACCCTGGACCACAAAACCAGTCTTAAGTCGCTGGGGGATATTTGTAGCAATAGCCAAAAATGATTTTCTCAATATTTAGATTTTTTTTGTACCCTCAGATTCCAGATTTTCAAATAGTTGTATCTCGGCCAAATATTGTCCTATCCTAACAAACCATACATCAATGGAAAGCTTATTTATTCAGCTTTCAGATGCTGTATAAATCTCAATTTCGAAAAATTGACCCTTATGACTGGTTTTGTGGTCCAGGGTTACATATTTAAAAATTCAACAACCTCCTCATTGCCATTTTTTTCAGTGTAATGTCACCATGGCAGCAGGCAAGGCAAGCTGAAAACACGCCTATGAGCATGTAATGAGGCGACACGGCACCATCTTCACTTTTGCATATGCACGTGTGTGTGTGTGTGTGGCTTTTGCATTACACATTTGAGACCCTCTAGCGCACTATCTGGAAGCCTCTAGAAGGGCCACCAGTAAGCTTACTCACATGTGACTCACGACTGGCATTAAATCAGTGTAAATACCATACACGTTTAACCCTGTTACCCGGCACTAATGCAGCTGGGGAGAGGAGGGGCCTTCACAGATCTGTGAAAAGCGCTTCACGTCTGTGATTTCATTGGAGCGTTTCATGCCAATTGTCCGTTAATATCGCCATTAGTGGCGTAGCATGATCCGTGAGTGCACACAACCTGCGCCACCAATGCCCATCATAAAAACACAAGATACTCTGTATTGTTGCAAATGATTATTAGAGACATCACTTTTTGTTTTTTTTACAATTCTTAAGCATTAATACTTATACTGTGAAGTTGTCTCACAGAATGTATGCTATAAACCAAAAAATATCTTGTACTGATTTTTGTGGATGTGTGTTGTTTTTTAATGTCTTGCAATTCAATACAATACAATTGACATTACTTTTTCATTGCTGTTAATGCAAACAGTATTTTTTACTGTTTTTGTTATTGTTCTCCCACACACTTACAGAATTAAAAGTAACCTAAAATTCTAAATAAACATAAATTGAACATTGAAAGTGATATATTTTTTTCATTATGTAAAATTTCCATTTTGTTAAAAATATGGAGGAGCTATGATGAAATATGTTTGTTTTAATCAAGTTATTTGATTTAGCTTTTTCTGATAAAAAAAAAATAAGTTGAAAAAAAAAAATCAAGGAACTGGACTTTTTTAGACAATTCTAGTGAATGTAGAACTATTAAAAACACCTGGCAGCTACAAAACACCGTAAAATTGTGTTACTATGTTTTGCACCTTTCAGAAAATGTTCAAATCTAATTGAAATTGATTTATGTTGATCTTGACATGTTAAAATCTACTAGATTTTTCTGTAATTTGCTTTAAGTGACATTTCTTTGGCTAACCCAAACCTTCTCTTGTTCTCACAGGTGATCTCTGCGCTGTCCAGAATCTCCCACAACAGCATTGCACAGATCAAAGGCATCAGGTAACTGCCTTCCTCTACACATGCTGATTGTGTTTCCTTACAGTCGTGGTGTGTCTCGAGTCTTGAGGGATCTTTCACAGCACTCTCTCGGGCTGCACCTTTTATGTGGCTCCATTCATAGGGCCTGGAAGGGAGAAGAAGTTGGCACAGACTACTGCATATGTGTGAAAGCTGTGAGCCTAAACCCGTGAAGTGTGTGGTTGTCTCTCCCCTCAGGTGTTTTAGCGAGGAGGGAACCTGCCTCCCTGCTTTACAGGCGACTGGGATCACTTCCTGTCTCATTATTTGTGCAGTCCATTCGCCCCGCTCCGCAAATAAAACCTTTTATCCAAGGGGGTAATGAGCTGATGGAGCGAGCCATTAGGCGTTTTGCCAGAGTGGGGCGAGGCAAGACAGGTCTGCCATTAGTCGGTGCAACGTAACCGACTGAGGGGTGCCTAAATCACTTCCTGTCCTCACCGGGCACACTGCTGCAGAGAGATGGCCAAAATACTGCCTGTTGATTTGTCAAAGTCAGGACTCAGTCATTGGAAGTGGAAGAATAAAATGATTCTCCATTGTAAATGTTGTCTGAAGTAATTAGAGGGAAGATCTGAAGATGGATCTTGGCGGCAGACACATCTGCTGACCTGCCCTGAGCAAGTCTTCTGTATAAGCCATTTTAAGTGCACTGGTTTTTGTGAGTTCGCATAATTTCTTGACTGTATAGAGGAAGCAATGAAAGTCGGCTTTGTTTTCATAGACGCCGTGGAGTGTGTCTCAGCTTTGATGGGGGGAAACAGCATGCCTCTTTAGTGGTTAGGCCGCCGTAACCCATATTTTTTTAAAAAGTCTTTTATTTCAGTCTATTGTTGGTGGTGTGTTTTACAGTTTTGTGGCATAGAATGAAGGATGCATAAAAAATGCTGTCTGTTTTATTTCCTCACACAGCAAGAAATGTCTCAGTCTTGTTTGGGAACATTCCTCGCACACCCTTTTGGATTTGGTTTAAAGCTGCACGCGGATGTTTTTCTAGACAGAGCTTAAAATTCAGCCACATTCCGGCACGCAAAATGCTAATCAATATTCACAAGACTGGATTTCAGAGTTATAGTTTGGCTGCATTGTTTTATTATTGAAAGACCCTAGGGAGAGACGCCTCTGTAAGATCTTTTTGCCTTTTGACCTCTCGGCTAGAATGGTTAATGGTTATTCTCAATGTCTGTTAATTAATTAGCCATCAAAAGAGACAGAGTGCCATTTCACAGAAGGGACCTGTGACATTACACACACAAAAAAAATCTTGTTACTATTGCTGTTTTTTTCAGCTGTGACCATGTGCTTTTCCTCTGAGCTCTGAGTTCTAGCCAGTGATCGGAACGTCACGCACACCATTAGATGTAAACCGCTACTTTTACATATGGAGGTCCTGCTTCTATAATAAGGTCTTTTACTGAGTAGCAGGAACAAGGAAGGGTAAAGTGTAAGTCATTCATCATGTTTTCGCTCTATAGTGCAGCATCTGTTGACGTGATCTCTGGTTTCTCCTTTCTCAGCATGGTGTGTATCTAAACCACTGCTCTTTCAGATTCTGCTTAGATTGTATGGTTTGTTACATGTAAGTGAGTGTAGTTATGTTTCTCACAGTCTATGAGTTCAAATAACCCTCCTTTTACTGTATTTTGGGGCAGAAATGCTGTTTCTACATAAAACATCAATGTTTACCTTTAATTCATACTGTAGTGCTTTGTTCAGCACCAGGAACACAGTAGCTCTATGTCTGTTGACTCCCCAGCTTTCTCTAACTGAAATTAAACTTCATAAGTGACTTATTTGGAACAGTCTGCATAGACCGGAACTCTGTGCATCATGCAAATAACACACAAAAGACTTGACTCTTTTCACAAGAGACTTGGATGCTTCAGTAAACATAAATAAATATATATAGTAAGTACTTGTTTAAATTCTGCCTGCAGAATCAGCTTTCTAAGTTTTGGACCAGAGCTATTGTGTCCTCACTGCATAGGTCAGATTGTGGGTTGTATGTGTGTATTGTTTTGAATTAATGAGAGTTTACATACCATGTATGTGTCAACATTCTATTGATTTGTGCTTACTGAAGAAAGTGCAATACCTGAAATGCAAAAGTAAATTTCTCAAATGACAACAATCATTACGATTATAATTTTGAGAAAAAAATAATTTTTATCAGATTAACTATTATACAGAATGACGAAAATGTGACTAATATTTCATTGGCTAAAAAACCTGACTAAAATGCTCATACATTTCATTGAATAAACAAAAACAGGACTAGTTTGTCTAAATATGATAAAAAACTAACAAGGACATTTTAGCCCGGGAATATAACTGAAAATAGCTGACAAAATTAACACTATTTGATTGCCAAAGAATTTAAAGCATAAAAGAAAAAACATGCAAAAATAAGGTTGTTAACAATGGTACAATAGTAAATAAAACTTATTTTAACTGAAAATAAGTTTCAAAATTAAATATACATATATATATATATATATATATACATACACGTGCACATCTGCAGGATGTCGCTCACTCACATGCATAATGCCATACTGTACACTTTAAATATGCACTAGCTACATCGACTAATGTACATAACAGCCAGTCATGCCCAATTCACCTTGACCTATACACATGCAAGATGATTGCTGTGCATTATGAATGCATACACGCACACATTGCATGAAAGCTGGTGTTGTCATGTCTTATACAGAGACAAGCATAACAGAGGAATGACAGAAAGCATAATATACAGAACATAAATGGTTTGCTCCTGGTGTTTGATAGAAGATAGAAATTTCAGAGCAGATTGAAGCTACTTGTAAGCATCAAATAATCCTCTGCATCCACTCAGCTTTCTGCTTTATTGATTCCTCTGGTGATGGACACTGCTCTTCTATGCAACGTGAAAGTGCTGTATCTCACTCAGTCTTTATCAAGTCCTGAGAGAAAACCAGAGTCTGCTGGTGGAGTGATCAGATGGATGCTCTCTTCTGATCATCCCTCCAGTGATATTCCAGTATGAGCCGGACAGGATCAGGTGCTCTGGGCTGCTTTGGATACAGAGGGATTACTGAGCTCCTGTGTTTTATAGAATATCAATATAATCATATGCTTGCAGTCTTTTCAGATGATGAGAAATCAAAGTTATTACTACTGAGAGAAAAAATAGGAGATATTAAGGAGGATTTTATTCTTTAAATTAGAATTCAATTTTGCAGAATTTAAAATGTAGTGTTTTATTTTTTATGAAATTAAAATTTAGAATATTTTAAATACATATTTCTAGTCCTGTTTCACGACAGTGCATGTTATTTAAAAAAAGTTAATCTCATAACCTCTTATTTGATCCACCTTTATACATCATAATACAGCAAGGCTAAAAATATAAACAAAGTATTTTTGAACAAATTAGTTGAATAGATGAAAGACAGTCACTTGTTTTGTTACCAAATCAATCAGCAGTTTTGAACAAATAGGTTATGATTCAGTGACTACTTCATAAAAAAGTAATTTGTTGAAACCCAATGGAGTAACAATGTAACCTGCAGAAAAAAAAATCTAGGCCTAATTGAGTGTATTTATTTATTTTTATGACAAAACTTGTGCAAAATAAATAATTAAATTAATAAGATATAAATGTTTATTTAATACAATATTAAATAACCACTGAAAATAAAATTTAATTGAACACCAAGGCTAATTGTTGTATAATTTGTTTAAAAAAACACTCAAATTATCTTAACACATTGTCATATAAACAGTAATGTTACAGTCTATAAATGTGATGTATAGTTGTATAGACTCTTTCAGCATGAATGAGGAGCTTTAGCTGGTTTTGTAATCATACTGCAGTATGTTTTCTAATCTTGTGAAATCTAATAGAAAATGAATCAGTTTCACATCCCCCCCCTGCACATCTTTCGTTCACTTCAACAAACTGCTGAACGCTTCAGATGTTTCAATATTCTTCAAGCTCTTCTGAGCCGTCGCTCTCGGAATAGAGAGCAAATATCTGTTTCTGTGAGATAAAAGCCCAGGGATACTGTTTGCTTGGACATAAATGAAATTGGAAAGAGACTGATGTGTCTGCCAAATCCAATTAAAGTGAGTATTGGCCTGATGTGTTTCAGGCTGTAATCATTGAGGGATGGGAGCAGATTTCATATTATTCTGATTTCTAATGATCAGGTTTGTCACAGCTCCTGAGTTTGTGTGTGGGTGAGTTTTCCTGTGTATGTGTCTGTGCATTAGTGTTTGTTTTTTTTTATTGTCAATGCACAGCGTGTCTGTGTTTATGCTGTTAATGATGCCTGAGGGTTTATTAAGAAGTGAATGGTTTTGGCTAAAACAAAGACTCTTAATTGATCCTATGTGAATGTTTGATTCCAGCTAATTAAGCACACCACAGTAGGGTATTGTAACGTGATCTCTATTTAGCACAGTACCTGCACCAAAAGTTGGACACAAATTACTGCATGATGGATGGATGGATGGATGGATGGATGGATGGATGGATGGATGGATGGATGGATGGATGGATGGATGGATGGATGGATGGATGGATGGATGGATGGATGGATGGATGGATGGATGGATGGATGGATGGATGGATGGATGGATGGATGGATGGATGGATGGATGGATGGATGGATGGATGGATAGATAGATAGATAGATAGATAGATAGATAGATCTCTTTCTCATAGATAGATTTCTTTTTGAAATTGAATATATTATATACTCACTGATCAGTATACAGCATTTGGGGTCCTATGATTTCCGCGATGTGGAAACCGCGGACGGAATAGTGAGATCCAGTCATAAAAACGGAATTTACTGTATAATGCGGAATGTCACAGAATTGACCAAATTTACCCTCACAGCAACCTGGAGCAACTTGAAGGAATCGTGACAGAAATATTATTTAATGTTATGATAGTACTACTACTATTAATAATACAATTATTATTAAAACAT